CTAACTTTTCGCAAAAAACTTTTCCAGAGAAAATAACGGAAAATAAGATATGCATATGCCATAAATTATGTATATATAGGAGCGAGTTTTTCTCACCATAGGTCTTGTATTTAGAAACTGAAAAATGACTAACACCAATTCTTTTAAATTTAGGTGTTATTTTCAGGATAGAGAAGATGAAAAAATTTTCATGATCGAACCTTGCAAGGAGGACAAAGTCACTATTCTTGAATTTGCTGTTAAAACTCTTTTAGCAAACTAAGGTTACCAAGCTCTATCCTTCAACTTCAGCCTATACATGAACGATTCTAAGGAAAATAAACTCATAGAATCAGCAGAATAGATCTCTAAGTATTTCGATAAGCCTCTCGTTTAGGATCAAATTCACATTCTTATAAAACCTAAGAGTATTTAGTATTTTTTCTACTTGTATCATGTAGTAATATAGTCATGCAAAGTGCTTTAATGACCAATTTTTATATATTGTGAGCTAGTTTTCAGCAAGGTTTTTTTATTTTTTAAATAAAGCATATATTATATTTTTGTCGTAAAACTTGAAAAAGGTTATGTGTATTGATGTAATATAATCGCCTGACAATCTTGTATTACATTTTAATTGCATATATATTGGGCAAATGCATTATGAATTAATACAAAAAAATCTATCATTTCTCTCCAAGCATCAAAAACCAAAAATACTTTTATATCCATAAACCAGCTTTATCTGTAACTACAGTCGAGTGCATATTTTTTCACAAGCATAAACTCACATATATAAAAATTATGTCTTTACAACTCTCTACACCTTCTTCTCTAAACTCAATAATAAAAGAAGTTTCTTTACGAATGATGTTAGACGTTGTTAAGGATTTTAATATAGAGAAGCTTATTGAATATTTGAAAAAGAAAAACTTGAAGCTAGAGGAGTTCCACTTCAAAATTTTACGCAGAGAAGAAATTTCTGGCCTTTCCTTTCTTGATACAACTAAAGAGAATTTTCAAAGTTATGGCTTAAAAGCTAGTTCCACAACAACACTAGTAAAATTTATTGAAGGTCTCAGCCATATTAACCTTATTTTTTTCTCTACAGTCTTTGAGGAGATCAATAATGATAATAAAGCTTTCAATCACTGTATGAAGGATATAATCGTAAAACTTTCAAATGTGTAAACCATGACTAATGCTAACGAAGTGACACGTTGTAAATTTATTTCATCGATTATTCATGCATCCATCGCTATAGCTAAAAAACTTACCTCACAAGATATATTTATAGTGTTTTAAAAGGATATTTCCAGTGAGGATGCAATAGGTCAGGTGGACTATGCAATCAAAAGTCTAGAAGATCTTCTTTGCATACCGAAGAGAAACTACAAAATATTAAGATTGGATATGCGCAGGTAGGTCTACTATCCATATTTTCGCTTGTTTGCATAGCAAATGATATTAATGATAGTTTATTTCTTAGAATTTGACGCAACTTAAAAGTGCGTTCTAAACAAATAAGAAAAAATGAACTGCAGATTAAGCATTCAGGAATGACTATTTTAACTATATTTATAGTATTATGAATATAGGTACGGAGTGGCATTTTATCATATATACTCCGGATGGTATCTTCTTCACAAGTGGTAGCGAATATTAAATTAATCTCACAAAGTCTGTCATCAAAGAAAATCCTGAGTTACTTTAAAATAACATGAAAAGGGTAATAGGTATAATTGTTAGGCTGTTAAAGGATAGGGTTAGTGTAGATAGTTCCTCAACTAGTAAGAGGACTAGGATCAAAAAATTTATCAAAAAATAATATGTATCATAGGTGCAGTCCTAAACTATGTATTTATTTTTCGCATGTAATAATAAAAAATTTTTCTCAGCAAAAATCTATTCTGAAAATTTGAAATAACTAGAATGTTTTTACTGATTTTAAATACTAAAGTTTGATATTACAGACATGCAAACTGAAATAAATCTATTAAAGTAACGTATTATTGAGCTTGAGGCTAAGCTCGAGATTAAGAATTCTGAGATTCCTGAACTTAGAAAGAAGCTTGCTGAATTTGAAGCCAGAGATGTCAAAATTCACGAGCTTAGAAAGAAGATTGCTGAGGTTGAGGCTAAAAATGCAAAGCTTATAAAGCAGATAATGGAAGAGAATAACAGATATAACACTAGAATTGAGGTTCTAGAGAAAAATAAGACGGATATCACTGATAGAATTCCTACATTGGAACAGAAGTATTCGCAAGATGATATTGCTAATAACAACTCTTCTAATTTCAATTCGGGTGTAGACCATATTTGTAAAACAAATGAGAATAAGGAGATGAATGCTTTCTTAGTCAACGTAAATAAGAAAAGCATTAGTAAAGATATTAGGCGATGCAATAAGGAGAAGAAACTCTAACGTAAATCAGCTAACCAGGACAACATCTCTGATACTACTTATGTATCAGAAATTGTTAATAATATTGAGGTGTCAGATGGGCTAAGGAGTCGAATCATTGATGGAAGTAATAGTTTTATTTCCTCAGATTTATCTTGCAAAATAGTTGTAATTATAGATAACTTATATACAACGCCTCTCGATCAAGATCAAGATCATGATCAGAAAGATATTGCTTCTTCCGTAGTAGATCCAAACTTATCACGTGATATAAAAACCTTAATAATGTTAAGAGATTTTCTAAAAATTCGAAATTATCATATGAGAAACTGAAGGAAAAAATTGCCAATATTCCTTCCAATGTCTGCTCAGAGATAGATAGAAATGTAGAGATGAAAAGATCAGAAAAAGAAAATTTTTCTGATAGCTTACTAGAGTGCATCCTACTAACCAAGAATGGTGAGAATATTCAGGCTTTCTCGAGTATAGTAACTGAATTTGTATAAGATTTGTTAGAAGAGCTACTCTCATTTGATGATCCACTCCAGACTTCTAGACTATAAAGTTTTCTTCTCTCAAAACTATAGTTCTCAGATCAATAAGCATTAAAAAACTTGTCAATTCATTCTGCCAGGTGAATGTTACAAGAAATAAAACAATCGTAGCAAAGCGATTAAAGATTACGTTATAGTGTTTATTCTCTGAAAGGTTCAAAGATAAAGTTGTAGAGCTTAGGTCTAATGATAAGAAACTTACAGATCTGACTGCAAGAAAGTGGATTTATAATGAAATGAAACTATACCTTACAGATGTTTCAATTGGATATTTACAAGTAATGACCTGTAAAATGAGAAAAATCAATAGGTTATTTGGATATAAATATGATCCTGTAACTCTGAAAAAGATTAAAGGTATACCAGGATATATAGTTCAACAGGTTACCTGTAGCACTGACAAAATTTCAAGGCTTACTAATCCTCAAATCGATTATATAGAACAGGTCAAATTGAAGACAACCACTAGTCGTGTGAATGAAATCTCTGAAACTGTGACTATTATTTCAGCTCATGATTCAGATGATAATTTTAGTAACGCATCATCAGATGTTACAATTATTTTAAGTCAGACAATGAATCTAAGTCCAATACTAATAAATCTGATTCTGATGTATATTTCAAATCTGATGATTCCGATGATGAGTATGATCACAAACTTCATGAAAGGCTCACGTATGAAGAAATAGCAAGGATAGCAAAGTTAGAGAATAAAATATCAACTAAATCTGACCTAAAGGATTATTTTCCTGAGAAGAAAGCGAACAAAGTTAAGTCAGTTGATGAAAATGCTACTAATGATCTTGATAAAATCATTATAGAAGTTATAGAGCATGAGATATATTTTGATAATCTTGTATCTTAGTCAGTAATGAATCCTACTATCTTTCCGGTGACTGCCTAAGAATAATATTGGAAGAATCATTTATTTGCATAGATTGGATTGTCGTATAGTTTCTTTTTTTTTTGAATCACGTAGGTAGCTTAGAGGGTTATGTGGATCGATCACCTGAAATGCATAAAAGATATTCTTGCCAAATGAATAAGGGTTGTGTGATGTAAGATTTTCCTATATGTCACTTTATTTGTATTTTTTCTAACGTTAAATCATATTTTCTGAAGGATCTTAACATACTCACAACATATCGCAATGTGAAGAAATGTTAGCGATAAAAAAATACTGGAGATGAAGCTCTGGACAAGACATTGTGTAATTAAGGTAGAAATACTTATTTTGCTTAGTTGTGGGAATACATTTACAAGAAAGCATCTTCAGAGCTATAAACTAATATCTAGCTAATATCTTTTTATTCTAAGGTTTAAAGGATCTCTTAAGCATCATAAAGGCATAAATGAAATGGATTATCAAATAATGTTGAGAAGAAGCTGGTAATGAAAAAACAGAGAGTTCAAGAGTATTTCAAAAATAATCAGCCGTAAAGCATTTCGCATGTATTTTAGTCTGCAGACATTAGTATAGACGTCATATATCCAGCATCATGTAATTTATTTTTAGCAGTCTCAGGATCAAGTTTAATGTATTGCAAATAAAAATGTTTAGGGTATTAGGTAATTTGTGAAATATAATCAATTATTTTTCTCGTATAGAAGGTGATTGGTGTGATTCCTCTGGAATCTACATACTAATTTTTTATTTCTCAAGAGTATACATATTAATACAGGGTAATTTAGAAAATCTGGATCAGCTAATTATTAGGCAATATGATTTCTAGCGAAGATCTAAAGACTTTTAGTGTTTCAAAACTGGTTTTCAGTCTTCAGTTTTAGTTCATTTATTTAGTAACCAGTTTTAAAAAAAAAATTTTAAAGATCTGATAACTGTTTTTTAATATAAAATCAGTTTTAAACTCAAATCAGTTTATGATTTCAAACTGGTTTATATATAAAATTAGTTTAAAGATTTAAATTAAAATTTAAAATAATTATTTAGAATAGAAAAATATATTTAAATTAATTTTTATATTAAAATTTGTGAATCGTAATACAATGTAATTTATTAATATATCATCTTATTCTTTATTCAATTTTTATTTCAAAAAATGGATGAAACCAATAATAAACATAGACGAGATAACTCAAGTATTATTTAGGACTACTATTTTGAGGAATATGATGAAGAGGAAAAACAGTTATATCTTGTTTGTCAGGTATGCAAAAATAAAAGTATTATAAAATGTTATAAGTGGATAAAAGGTTCTTCAACTACTACTGCTCAAGAATATCTTTGGCGGGATTATAGAATTGATAAAAATCATTCAGAAAAGCCAGTAAATACAGATGGTGATATTAGAACAGTAATGAAATATATTACTATAAAGCGTCAATTATCTTTGAAACAGTCTTTTATAACTTTTATTATTGTTGATTGTCAACCATTAAATATCCTCTGAAATGATGCATTTCAAAATATGCTTCATGAATTTGAACCAGGATTTAGAATACCAACTGAAGAAAAATGCAAAGAAATAATACGTAATAGTTATAATTAAACAAAAGAAAATCTTAAGAAGTTATTAAAATCTAATGCAAATAGTATTAATATTATAACAGATCTTTGGACTTGTTGTCGAAATAATGGCTATATTGGTATAACAATTTTATGATTAGACCAGAAAATGAAATTACATAAAGCATTAATTAGTATAGAATTATTACCTAATCCACATACATCTGAAAATATTAAAAATTGTTTAAATACTATTCTTAAAAATTGGAATTTAAAAGATAAGTGTTTTACAGCTACAACAGACAATGGTTCAAATATTAAAAATGCAATTTCTTTAATGAATAATGTTGAAAATATAGGCTGTGCTGCACATATATTACATCTTACTATTACAAAAATTTTAAAAGAATTAATAATCTTATTCTTTTTTTTGCTTTGAGTCCAAAACAAATTAAACGATTAAAAGAAGTACAAGAAAATTGAGGATATCTAAAAATACTTGAAATAATTCAAGATGTACATATACGATGGAATAGTTCATATCTTGCATGAGCAAGATTATTAAAATTACAGGTTGCTATAAAATGGTTAAAAAATACATTACATTTAGTTTACTCAAAAGATGATAAAAATGATAGTGATTATTTAAAATTAATATCACTTACAGAGTCAGAGTGGATATATGTATTAATAATTATTTGTTAAATAAATGTTAATTAAAACTTATTTTAACAAAATATTTTTAATTTTTTAAGTTTATTACAAGATTTAGTAAATCTTTTAAAACCATTTTTAGATGTTACGAAACTTTTATCTAGTTCAAAATTCTCTACCCTAAATTTTATGTATCCAACGATGTATAGTTAACTCTTTCTACAATGAATTTTGATATAACGAATTTTACAATACAACGGATTTTTATTGTCAGACAGATTTTTAAATATAAAAAAACCCTTACTATACTGAATTTAGTAATTAAAAATTTGTACTACGTTTAACAAATTAAAGTCAGAAAAATTTATATATAAAATGACTCTCTTTATAACGAATTTTCTCTATAACGAATTTTT